CAACGATTACCGACCAAACTAGCCACCAATTACCGACAAAATTAAATTTCCAATATCTACAAATTCAAACCTATAAACCTGGGGCCGAAGGCTAAATTGTTTTTCCTATGGACTATCTATAGTACTAGCATATGCGCAAAATGGTCATTTTCCTCGACGACACAAATATACGAATTATTTCTTCAATTTAGTCATCATCATGGCTATATATTTTAATGCAGGCGCGGAGCTGGGATCTTATTTTAGGGAGAGGTGGTAGTGAGCAAGAGAATCACTTAAATGCGCGCTCATTAGGGGGTTGTGGGTGATGGGCCGCGCGAAGCGCGGAAGCTTAGACGTTTCCTTAAATTATTAGGAAAAGAAGACGATTAATTGTACCGTTTTCGACTGGTAATCCTTGGCCGAATGAAGTTTTCCCTCCCCCCTTCCTCCCGCGCGAAGCGCGAAAGCTTTGACGTTTCCTTAAATTATTAGAGAAAAAACATGATTCGTTGAACAGTTTTCGACTCTAAATAAGCCCTAATAATTTTGTCTGAATTCAGTTTACCCCTCTCGCGCGAAGTGCGAAAGCTTTGACGTTTCCTTAAATTATTAGAGAAAGAACACGATTCGTTGTACCGTTTTCGACTCTAAATAAGCCCTATTAATTTTGTCTGAATTCAGTTCCCCCCTCTCGCGCGAAGCGCGGAAGCTTTGACATTTTCTTATATTATTAGAGAAAGAAGACGATTCGTCGTACCGTTCTCGACTCGTCTAAATGAAGTTTCCCCCTTCCGCGCAAAGCGCGGAATTTTTGGCATTTCATCACAATATAGAGAAAGGAAGACGATTCCTCGTACCATTTTCGAATCTTATTAAGCCCTATTCATCTGAATTCAGTTTCCCCCTCTCGCGCGAAGCGCGAAAGCTTTGACGTTTCCTCAAATTATTTGAGAAAAAACACGATTCATTGTACCGTTTTGGACTCTTAATAAGCCCTATTCATCTGAATTCATTTTTCCCCCTCTCGCGCGAAGCGCGAAAGCTTTGACGTTTCCTTAAATTATTAGAGAAAGAACACGATTCGTTGTACCGTTTTCGACTCAAAATAAGCCCTATTAATTTTGTCTGAATTCAGTTTCCCTCTCTCGCGCGAAGCGCGGAAGCTTTGACGTTTCCTTAAATTATTAGAGAAAGAAGACGATTCGTCGTACCGTTCTCGACTCGTCTAAATGAAGTTTTCCCCTTTCGCGCGAAGCGCGGAATTTTTGGAGTTTCATCACAATATAGAGAAAGGAAGACGATTCCTCGTACCGTTTTTAAATCTTATTAAGCCATATTCATCTGAATTCAGTTTCCCCCTCTCGCGCGAAGCGCGAAAGCTTTGACGTTTCCTCAAATTATTAGAGAAAGAACACGATTCGTTGTACCGTTTTCGACTCGTCTAAATGAAGTTTCCCCTTCCGCGCGAAGCGCGGAATTGTTGGCGTTTCATCACAATATAAAGAAAGGAAGACGATTCGTCGTACCGTTGTTGATTCTTAAACCTTGTTTAAATTTAGTTTCCCCGAAAATTTTAAACATCTGATTTCTTTAGCTGATATTATAGGAAGTGAAACTTCGAGAAAATACAAATATTTTAGGTGTAGTCACTCTCGAAGTCGTCACAGCGGATAAGACGTCACAGTTCGTAGGGAGAAAAAAATTGTCGGCCGACCGACAATATACATCTCACCGACTTCAAACTTCTGCATTGATAGTACACGAGGATCGAGTAAGAATACCGACACAGCTGACCCGACACAGCAACATATTTACCCGTGTCTTTCTTGCTCCCTCGACGAGACGACTCCACCCAACAACCCTCTTCTCTCTTTTACTCCCACTCCTCCTCTCTCAGACTCTTACATTCCCTCTTTCTCCTCTCTTTCATCCCCCGTTTCTTTTGTTTCCCTTTCACTCTTTTTTCTTCTTTTTTCCTTTTCTTTCTTTTCTTTTCTTTCTTTTCCTTTCTTTCCTCTCCTCCCTCTTTTTCCTTTTTCTCTTTCTTTCTTTTCTTTTCTTTCCTTTCTTTTCTTATTTTCCTTTCTTTTCCTTTCTTTCTTTTCTTTTCCTTTTTTTTTTTTTTCTTTTCTTTCTCTTTCCCTCTTTTTTTTCCTTTTTTTTTTCCCTCTCTTTTTTTTCCCTCTTTTTTTTTCCCTCTCTTTTTTCCCCTCCCCTTTTCTCTTTTTCCCGACGGCAGCGCAATTTTACCGACAATATCCTGACAGGTGGGGGGGGGGGGGGGTGTCGCACCCCCACACCCCCCCCCCCCCCTTTGGCGACGCCCCTGGGTGTATGCCCCTGTCATTCTGGAAATGGGTATTGCTTATTTAACATGCATATCGCCACACAATGGAAAAATGTCATGTTCGCTGTTTCACTGTTTTACCCACATCTGGCACAAAACGGATCTCGACATACTATTTTTAAATGTTGCTTGTGAAACGTGTATACGTTAATGTAATCGCAGTATCAATTAAAAAAATCTTACTTTTACCTAAGGAAAAGCAAGAAGCTATTTCTATACAGCTCTATCTTTGCTCACAATAACAGTTTCTTTTCGGGTTCCGTTTTTTGGGGACGCACTATATATATATATATATATATATACATAAATGTTGTCACATCAGATCAAACCTTCATTTCCGTGAAATGATGAAAATAATTATGTACGCTTTAGGATAACTGTTACAGAAACTGTCTCACTGCTCTCGTAACTACATGTAAACTCTCAGTCTTTTACAATGTATTCTCTCTCATTGTGAACATGGCTCTAGTCTCCCTCGTAAATCAACGACACAAGACCATCGGTGATTAGAACTGCTGACAGAAGAGATGGGTCGATGGATTTCAGTTCCATTCATCAATTTTTATTTTTCAGCTCATTCTTTGAAGTTGATGTTACAGCAAATCATGCTCTTTTGTCCTTGCGGGTCAACAACAGCATTTTTTTTTTTATTTTTTAATTTTTTTAATTATTAAAAAAAAAAAATCTCATAAAGAAGGCTAAGTCGGGGTAAAATATTTCCCGAAAAATCGGACAAAAAAGTACCTCCTACCCCCCCCCCCCCGCTTATTTACCGGTGGTTGAGTCGCAACTAATATTTTCTCACGGATTGGGCCCCCCTCTTCCCGCCGGCTGGATCCGCCACTGGGTGGACCCTCTATGTAATCAGGGAATATACACGGATTACTATAAACGTGATATAAATAAGAATAGTATGGATCCAAAATGAACCCAACCATTGTTGATAATGTTAAACTGTATGTGATTGTATTGATCAATGTGTACAAATAAAGAATATTTGACATATACCTACAACTTGTGCATAACCGACTAAATATATAACTATGTTGTGATTGCATCAATATTTAATACGATGGCAACTGCTTACGAAATATTAACCCAAGGCAATTACAATAGCCTCGTGCGTCACCTATTGACATGTACGAGCATGACAATGACGTATTAAGTAAGCTGAACATGATTTCCATGGGACATACAATAGGGTATTGAAATTCCCTTTGACTTGAATGTTCTAAAATAGTTGCGGTCGTGTTATTTATAGCATTGAATCTAGGTGTCCTTGTTGTGACTCACACTGTACATATGTCATTAGTTATATATATATAGACAAATTACATAATGACATTTTCATATGGAATAAACACAACTCCGGTTTATCATAACATTAATCTGTACACAAATATAGGCCTACGTGTAAAGAAATTATATACAATGTAATATCTGAAGTAAAAGCGTAAAAAAGGGGATAATCTTTAAAACTGAAATAATAACATTTAGAACCAAATGATAATGTCACTGAAACTATAGTAACATAATTATCTCCTTTCTATACCATTTTAGAATAGTCAACATTGACATAGTATAATTCAGTCGCAAGATAAGACATTTACAATACTATGTTAATAAGGCACTGTATTGATCATTTGCTTTCACAGTCAATATATTCTGATTTCCAAATATGTCTACATGTAAATGTTGTTAGGTAGGCAAATATTGACATATTGACGATCCTCACTAGGCGTGTTTATAGATGTAGATAATCAAAATAAAAGCAGACTTAGAACACTCTTTTTAAACTTAGGTATACATTCTGATTAAATGTTATCACACCCTCTCAAATCATTATGGTCTATGTACAATTCGGTCATAAGAAAATTACTTTTAAAATATTTTGTGAACGATTACACATTTATGAAAATAATTATGTACAGGTAAGTAAAGTATGAAAAAGTGTATATATTCAGAAATTGCATATAGCTAACATTTGTTAAGATACATGTATATAGCAATGGAAATCAATAATGGATGTGAGATAATGTATGAGTACTAGACGAAAAAAGATCGCAACTTATTTTGAACAATCAACTTCTTTGTTTATTTAAACAAAAATCTACGTTCAATAATGTAATGCAGAATAATTATGTATCACATTAACAAATATGTATTCATATAATAACTAATGACTTTAAAACACATAAAGAAAACACACATATGTGAAACTTTAATTTTTGCAATTACCAGTATCTGTGAACGCAGGAGACCGCCAACTTGAGACAATTTCAATAGCCTCGTCTATAACCTCTAGAAACAGGAAAGGGTTAATGAAATCAGTATTGTTCACAAGTACTCGATATCTGTCTTGATGACACCCTGTGCATTCCTGTACTTAACCTGGTCACCTTCCGACACTCCACCCTTATGGCTGTGTATGTACATGGATAGGCTGCCTGTTTGGCGGATAGGTAACCTTAGCCCGATGCAATAGTAAGATACCCACACACTAGCGCACTCAAAACTATTATCTTTTTTTCCCATTACATTCAGAGTCATAACTTTGAATATGTTTATGCAGGCTAAAATGCTTTAATTCGTTTACACGTGTAATTTCTATCTTTCAACTTTCCTACTTATTCACTTTCAGTTAACCAATTTGTTCCTATTCAAAAAAGGGTTAGGGGTTGTGAGTGGGTTTGAAAGGGTTAGGGTTGTGACTGAGTTTGAAAGGGCTGGGGTTGTGGGTGGGTTTGAAAGGGTTAGGGTTGTGACTGGGTTTGAAAGGGTTAGGGTTGTGACTGGGTTTGAAAGGGTTAGGGTTGTGACTGGGCTTGAAAGGGCTGGGGTTGTGGGTGGGTTTGAAAGGGTTAGGGTTGTGAGTGGGTTTGAAAGGGTTAGGGGTTGTGGGTGGGTTTGAAAGGGCTAGGGTTGTGAGTGGGTTTGAAAGGGTTAGGGTTGTGACTGGGTTTGAAAGGGTTAGGGTTGTGACTGAGTTTGAAAGGGCTGGGGTTGTGGGTGGGTTTGAAAGGGTTAGGGTTGTGACTGGGTTTGAAAGGGTTAGGGTTGTGACTGAGTTTGAAAGGGCTAGGGTTGTGAGTGGGTTTGAAAGGGTTAGGGTTGTGACTGGGTTTGAAAGGGTTAGGGTTGTGACTGAGTTTGAAAGGGCTGGGGTTGTGGGTGGGTTTGAAAGGGTTAGGGTTGTGAGGGGGTTTGAAAGGTTTAGGGTTGTGACTGGGTTTGAAAGGGTTAGGGTTGTGACTGGGTTTGAAAGGGCTAGGGTTGTGACTGGGTTTGAAAGGGTTAGGGGTTGTGAGGGGGTTTGAAAGGTTTAGGGTTGTGACTGGGTTTTGAAAGGGTTAGGGTTGTGACTGAGTTTGAAAGGGCTGGGGTTGTGGGTGGGTTTGAAAGGGTTAGGGTTGTGAGTGGGTTTGAAAGGGTTAGGGGTTGTGGGTGGGTTTGAAAGGGCTAGGGTTGTGACTGGGTTTGAAAGGGTTAGGGGTTGTGAGTGGGTTTGAAAGGGTTAGGGTTGTGAGTTGGTTTTGAAAGGGTTAGGGTTGTGACTGGGTTTGAAAGGGTTAGGGGTTGTGAGTGGGTTTGAAAGGGCTAGGGTTGTGAGGGGGTTTGAAAGGGTTAGGGTTGTGACTGGGTTTGAAAGGGTTAGGAGTTGTGACTGGGTTTGAAAGGGTTAGGGGTTGTGAGTGGGTTTGAAAGGGCTAGGGTTGTGAGGGGGTTTGAAAGGTTTAAGGGTTGTGAGGGGGTTTGAAAGGTTTAGGGTTGTGACTGGGTTTGAAAGGGTTAGGGTTGTGACTGGGTTTGAAAGGGCTAGGGTTGTGACTGGGTTTGAAAGGGTTAGGAGTTGTGAGTGGGTTTGAAAGGGTTAGGGTTGTGAGTGGGTTTGAAAGGGTTAGGGGTTGTGAGTGGGTTTGAAAGGGTTAGGGTTGTGCGTGGGTTTGAAAGGGTTAGGGTTGTGACTGGGTTTGAAAGGGTAAGGGTTGTGAGTGGGTTTGAAAGGGTTAGGGTTGTGACTGGGTTTGAAAGGGTTAGGAGTTGTGAGTGGGTTTGAAAGGGCTAGGGTTGTGAGTGGATTTGAAAGGGCTAGGGTTGTGAGTGGGTTTGAAAGGGTTAGGGTTGTGAGTGGGTTTGAAAGGGCTAGGGTTGTGACTGGGTTTGAAAGGGTTAGGGGTTGTGAGTGGGTTTGAAAGGGCTAGGGTTGTGAGGGGGTTTGAAAGGTTTAGGGTTGTGAGTGGGTTTGAAAGGGCTAGGGTTGTGACCGGGTTTGAAAGGGTTAGGAGTTGTGAGTGGGTTTGAAAGGGCTAGGGTTGTGAGTGGATTTGAAAGGGCTAGGGTTGTGAGTGGGTTTGAAAGGGTTAGGGTTGTGAGTGGGTTTGAAAGTGTTAGAGTTGTGAGTGGGTTTGAAAGGGCTAGGGATGTGAGTGGGTCTGAAAGAATTAGAGTCATGTTAAGGTATCATATAAAGTTAGAAATTATGTTAGTGTAGGATATTGACCACGGGTCAATTGGAGCATGAGTCATAGGAACACGTAAAGGGCCATCCCTCGTTATAATTTCATTTGTATGAAAGCAAAAAAATAAAAAACAGAATGACGAAAGATTGACATAAATCTCACTTAAAATAGTTATGAATGTTGAAATCTGAGATCAGTATAGCTTTTCGTATCTCAAAATGACAATTTTCTTAGTGGATTGTGACCTAGTCGCGGACAACTCTCCCGTTTGTCGTGTATACAAATATCATTAGTTTCTATTTTTGTCTGAAGGAGGCACTACTCAAGATTTGTTATGGATAATATATTATCTTCAGTCCACTAAAAACGAAAAGACGATCTCGTGTCATACATTTTCACAGAATATATATAATTATTTTGTGTTGGATCAAATGAAGAAGTTCTCTGGCACAGAGATATTACTCATTTAGCCACTTTAAAATGTATGATTTGTTTTTTTTATGTCCGGTTATGTTCAACATTTTACCAGTCTGCTTTTCTGATTTTACTGCTTTCTCTTTAAGTTGTTTGCTTGGGAGGTTGGATTTTCATTTAAGAAAAAATACAATAAGTAAGCCCTCTGGCGTTTATAATTTGTTTAATGACGACAAAAATGTCTTTTTGAAATGAAAATGATAAATCTTGTAACCCTCATCGTGAAATCAAACACGGTTCTTCTGTGTAAAGTGTCTAAATTTGGGAACGCGCCACTTAACTATTACCTATGTAAGCAATTCAGACACGACTGGCTATTGAAGAAAGGAAAAAAAAGTGAAATACATGTAATTCCAATCTTCTGGCTTTTAGTCTGGACTTAGACCCATGATAGCTTAAAGGGAACGAGTTTAAAGCAAGTAAAGATAAATAAATCTCTTCATTGTCATTCATGATCACTAGATAGACGTCAGTGGCGGATCCATAGGCCGGGTGGGGACACATGCTCTTAGCCACTCCCTTTCCCCTCCAAACAGGGACAGACAAATATAAAATAATAAGCATAACTTAGAGATGATGACCCTTTTCCCCCTTATCAAATCTGTCTTGCTTGTAAGAGAACTTGCAGACTTTGCTCCCACTGCCAGATAATCCTGAGTCCAGCACATCTCCGAAATTGAATAAAGATCTATGTATGGATGTTGCAAGTAAATGACCAAACTGTTGCAAATTAAAAATGTAATATCTTTGATACATTTGTTTCTTTAGTATTACATCTTTTTGTGAAAAAACAAAGGGAGGTAAAAATTATGTCCAGAATAATTGTTTTTAGGAATGATCAGGACTTTATTTATTATACTATGATAACCTTAGTACACAGATTCTTTACTACACAAGATAATACATTGAAATTTAACGCATATTTTATACCTGATTTCAAATATTCTGAAATCAATCACTTATTGATAATCTTAAATTTTGGAGGCTGATCGCACATAATTCACACACCAACTGTAGATTGATATTTAGAAAGATGAAGAAACTTGTTTAAATCAATACCTTCATAATGTCTATACTTGAAGAAAAACATAGAAACGGTCTTAAAACACTTTAAAAACTATTACAAGAAATTCTGAGTAACTGCTCTCACCCCTCTCAATTTAGAACAATCTGTATACAATTCTGTTTTAAAAAATACAATGTTTTTTATGATTGATAATTGACGATCATTTGTTTTACACTGTATAAACCTTTGATATTCAAGTAGGTATAGCATGACTCATCGGACAGGTCGGATATGCACAGAAAGAAAGTAGTACCATGAAATTATGAAGGGCATGTATAAACTTATCACCTATCTGTAAAGAAATTGATAATTGGAAGGGGAAGAAAAAGGATTACAAGCACAATTTAAACGATTGAATGAGACATTAAACAAAATGAAACCATGTTTTACAGGCGAAATACGCGTTATAACTTTGATAAAAACTGACTTATTTTCTTTCTCCGCCATTCTAGAACAGTCTAATTTTAACATTACAATTCTGTGAGAGGAGAGGAAATTTACAATAATTTACAAAAAAGGCACTGTGTTTAAAGAAACTAGCATTTATTTTCAACGTTTCCAGGTAGGCCCGTCTTTGGAATAAGCTAAACTACACAAATTACTAACGTGATATGAATAGGAATAGTATTGATACAAAATGAACCCAACCATTGTAGCTAATAAATTGAGAAATACGAAGATAATTCATATATAATGTAGATACTTGAAAAACAACAACAAAGAAACAGGTTTAATAATAACAATTAGTACGTGTTCTTTTACCTAGAGTAGCCACATTATTCAGAATGGAAATGTGTTTTAATGTCCTGCCAAAAGACGTTAGTGCTGGCTGGGATTCGGACACTGAACCCTTGGATTAAGAGTCAAGTGAATGAACCAATATACCACCACCCATCCACGCTTTAATAAAACAATCTTTTACAAAAATGAAAAAAAAATCACTTTGAATAAATTTTCTCACGATATCTCAATTGAGATCAATATATAATACAGTCAAGACATGAGATTTACAATACATTTTGTATAACGAGACATTCATAGAAAGTATAAACTACATTATATTTAACTTTTTCAAATTGTATTTACGTTTACTTGTTGGGTATAAATATGCAAATGTAGTTTGAAGTACTCGCTCAATTTTTACGTCTCATTTACACAGCATCCATCCTGATTGTTTAAAAAAAAACGAACTATTATTCGTCAACCGTCACATGGCTTTTTGTTTTTAAATTCTTACCATAATCACTAATTACCTATGTTAGCCCGCATGGCTTGAATACAATACTTACTTATATAACATCAATTGAGGAAGTATAACAATTAATAAGGAGGGCTTCTCGAAATTTTCCCACTGACCCTTGATGGACCATTAGCTTGTTAGTGTAATAATATGATATGGCCTTAAACAATATTCTTGGCCCATTTGACGAAATCCTTAACAAGCTCTACAATATACTTCTTACTAATTCTTTGTAAATAACACTTCATTTAAGGACATAGTCATTCGTTTTCTTATCATACTAATCTTTGATTTCCAAAGACAAAAAGAGTAAGTAAAAATGGAAATCCATATTCATGCCCCAATATCATTGAAGAACGAGCAAAGTTGGTGGAATATATTATAAGGTTACCGTTGTTAATAATGTCTTGTTTTATAGATAGGCTACTCATCGAAATGCGATCATGGATGACAGAGCACTGGCCATTTATAAAAGCCTGTCAAAATCAACTTTGCCAAAGTTTGTGATGAATAATGTTCAACAGTTACGTTGATATTTGTTATATGCCTTCATTCAATTGGAATGGAATGAAGACCATTCAAATAAATCTTGGGTTGAGCATCCATTTCATTAAAAAACATGGGCAGAGCATACATATTGATCGGAGGACTTTATCCTCCACCTACGCCACTCGCCATCCCTTCCCATCTGACCCGCATCCTTTCTCCATGGCAATGCAGAATCCGCATCAGCAAACTGCGTCATACGTGTATGAAGGACCACAACTGCAACCTCCTACAATGAGCTATGCGCATGCTGTTTCTTCCCCTCGCTACACAGGATGTTTTTACTGTGGAGAAACAAATCACAAGCACCTACACTGCCGTTTTGGAGAAAAGATTAGGTGCTACCTCTGCAATGAAACTGGACACAAACGTAAATTCTGCAAAAATACATATACCTGCTAAAAAGCAGGCCAGGAAGACTGTGCCGATAATGATGCACTAAAGAAACTCTCAACTCGTACTTATCTCTCTCCCGAGTTACCGATATCACATGAATCTCATATGAGAAACGTTGCTAGTTTAAATTCTGCTCTTCCTTTATATAGTACTTGTAATCGAGAAGCTGACATAAATAACACCGATGAAGCAAGTGATTTTTCTGCTGATGAACATGATAGCGTCAGTGTGACCGAAAATTACACACCATTAAATAACCATGAAGTTGATGAGAAGGTTAGCCAGCATATATGTCATACTCCCAAACTGACAATCTCTGACTCTAACAGTTATCAAGATAAACCTTTTTGCAACTCTAATGATTTTGAACTGAATCATAATCTTTTTATCTCCGAAAATCATGATGAAGAAGACACTTTTTGTTGTCCTTATAACAATGATGAGGATGAAGTTTCTTCTATTCCCAACGAGAGCAATGTAATCATCACTTCTCATATTAGTAATGATGAGATTAGTACCACTAACCAGGGTGATTCGAGAAAGATTGGTTATTTTTGTGGTAAAACTCATAGTAGAATAAAGAGAAATTGTGGATTGCGATTTGCTCATCTAAATATACGATCACTTTGCTTTAATTTTGATGATTTACAGGTGATTATATCTGAAAATAATTTTGATGTTATTGCATTTAATGAAACTCGTTTATGTGAATTTATATCAGATGATAATATACGCATTGATGACTATGCCGTGTACAGAAAGGACCGTAATAGACAAGGTGGGGGAGTACTTCTATATATCAATGATAACCGACTAAACCATAAAATCAGGTCTGATCTCATGACCGAGGATATTGAAATGGTATCAGTCGAAATAAGTCTTCCTAAATGTTCACCCATAATATTAATTGCCTGGTATAGACCGCCGGGATCTGTTATTAATTTGTTTGACAAGTTCGAATCTATATTAACGAAATTGGACAATGAGAACAAAGATATTATTGTTCTAGGAGATTTGAACTGTGACCTGCTTGCATGCCCAGCAAGTTGCTATACGATGCGATTAACTGAGATTTGTGATACATTTTCATTGGTTCAAGTAATTAATAAACCAACTAGGATTGTACAGAATTCAAAGTCACTTATTGACTTAATCTATGTTTCAAATTTTTCAAAGGTAGCCGAAAGCGGAGTTATCCATACCGGAATAAGTGATCATTCCTTGGTATATATCATATGGGGGAAAATCAAAGCGAAAAAACACAACATGTATATAGCACCTATAGAAGCTACAAACAATTCGATAATGATTCATTTTGTGCTGAATTCAGGAATGAAAACTGGAATATCGTTCTTAATGCATGTGATCCTAATGAATCTTTAAATGAGTTTAACCGTTTGGTATTGAGGATCTGTGATAAACACGCACCTGTCCGAAAAAGAAGAGTAAAACTTGATAGACCTCCATGGATCAATGCAGACATATTGAACATGATGCGTGAAAGAGACGCAATGAAACAGAAAGCTATTGACAGAACTCTGAAAGAAAACGAAGAGAAAGAAAGTGCTGAAAATGAAAACAATGTTAGAGAAGGCAAGGAAAAGGAACATCATGTTAATGAAATAAAAGCTACTGAAGAATGGTTGAATTATAAAAAGATGAAAAACTATGTATCTTCAAAAATTAAGCAAAGTAAAAAAGAAACTTTTCATTATCAGATTGAAAACTCGTGTCATGACGTGAAAGGAACATGGGCAGCGTTGAATAAATTATTACTACGTAAAAGGTCAGGTAATAGCATAACATGTATAAAAAATGAGGAAGGAGATATACTCGACTCAAAAACTATTGCTCAAAAACTAAATGAGTACTTTGTCAGCGTTGGACCATCTCTTGCCAAAAACATTCCTTCTGCAAATAATTGTGTTAACGAGACTTTAGTAACACCGGCACACCATTCTTTTCAGTTTAGACAAGTGGATTCAAACGCCGTTTTAAAGGTACTAAATAGCCTATCGTTGAAAAGGCAATGGGGTGTGACATGATTCCAGTTAAGCTGATTAGAATGGTCACCCCGTATATTGTGCAGCCTCTGACGTCTATAATTAACTCGTCTTTGCATACAGGAATTGTACCTAATGTGTGGAAAAAAGCCCGAATTGTTGCGATTCACAAAGGAGGGTCTAAGGAACTGTGTAACTATAGACCTATTTCGATTTTACCCATAGTATCAAAAGTTTTAGAGAGAATGGTCTTCAATCAAATCTATGACTACTTAAATGCCAATACATTGTTGAGCATTTACCAGTCAGGATTTCGACCCAATCACTCTACAGCTACTGCTCTACTAAATGTAACAGATGACTGGTTAACAAGCATAGATGAAGGTCAAATTGTATGTGCGGTAATGCTATATCTAAAAAAGGCTTTTGATACCGTTGACTATGTGTTACTATTGAGAAAATTATGTATGTACGGGTTGGATGAACCATCACAGCTATGGTTTTCGAACTATTTACATGGTCGAGTACAATCTACATCTGTCAACGGTATAATGTCAGATTTTTTGCCAGTTGAATGTGGAATTCCCCAAGGATCCATTTTAGGACCCCTGCTCTTCATATTACATGTTAATGATTTGCCGCGTGGCCTCACCCACTGTAAAGTAAGCATGTATGCTGATGATACGGTAATATATTGTTCGGCAAATGATACCATAGAATTGAGTGAGAAGATTAATGAAGACCTAGAATACGTTAAAAAGTGGTTGATACGAAACAAACTAAATTTGAATATAAAGAAAACTGAATACATTGTATTCGGTACGAAGCAACGTCTGGATAAAGTTAAAGATAATGATTTAAACATTACTATCAACAATACTGTGTTAACTCAAGTTAGTAAGTGTAGACACCTTGGGCTAATTTTAAATTATGGCAAGAACATATTAATACTATTCATAAAAAAAGCAAGTAACGGATTATATGTGCTGAAATCTATAAGAAATATAGTAAATGAATATGAAATGAAATTGGTTTATAATTCACTAGTATTGTTTCACTTAAATTATTGTGATGTAGTATGGGGTGGATGTGGAAGTACACAGAAAAACAAATTACAAAAAATCCAGAATAGAGCAGCTCGAATAATCAATAGGTCCTCTTGGTATTCCTCATCAGATGAAAATTTAACAAGACTAAATTGGAATACACTTGACAATAATAGAACAAAGAATGTAGCAATTATGATGTATAAGATTGTCTCAAAACAAGCTCCTGAGTATTTAGTAGAAAGGTTTATATTTGCTGACCATACATACAATACACGTTCAAGTCTGTATAATGTGAAAACAATAAGACCAAAGACCGAGACTATGAAAAGATCTTTTAAATATAGAGGGGCCTTAACATGGAATAACTTGCCACATGAAGTACAAGGTGCTAAATCGTTAAATATTTTTAAGGCAAAGCTGACGTAATACGAAATAAGTGTGTGGGGAGGGGCTAACTTATTAGTTTAAGAGAGCTTTGTTGTTGTTTGTTGTTAAGGTTTTATAGTTGTATACAATGTTTATCTCATAATTTCAACCTATTTATCATTGTTATTTATGTTATATTACTCCTACGCAATATGTTTTAAATGTCTATTCGTGTGCAATATGATCTTTGCAATACGTTATCAGTTTTTGTCTCTTTAAAAACAAAAACAATTATATATGTAGTATTTAACTGATCCATATTCATAATGCTCTTAAGTATTTATTATTATTCCATACTTCATTTTACTTCTACTTAATATGGAATACGCATTTGTCTTAATTTCACAATTATCACACATTCTACATTATGTGTGTTTTCTTTTGTTTATTGTTTTAAAGTTTGATTATTTAATATTTAACATGAATACATAGTATGTTTTTAACTTATTTATATTCTTGTTAACCTTCTTTTTGTTTTTAATTTATATATATATATAAATATGCAAACAGATTATGATGATCATATATGTAACTTATTTAATTGTTTATCTTTTGGGTCTACCAATATAGTTTTAATTAAGTAAAGTGTTTTTAGCTTATTTCCTATTATTGTCGTGTTATGGTTGTGAATCTGTCAGTGTTATATTACTTTTGTTTATATGTCATGATTATGTTGTTTTTTATCGACACGGCCCTGATTGAAACCAGTCTGCGAACTGTTTCGGGCTTTTACCGTGTATAAATAAAATAAACTCAAACTCATGGAACGCTGAAGTACTTCCCTTCCATGTATGTTGGAGGGAACTATTTGGAGCTCGATAAATTGAGCTTTGATCTATACGTGTGCGCGTGTCACTGACAACTATCTCTCCAATACGCTATGCACAGATCATATTGATTGTGCTTTAACGGTTGGAAGAAAAAAATGTTTTTACTCTCAGCTTAAAACTTTCTAAAGCTAGCCTTTACTGCAAAAAACTATATATTCAAAGTTTTATTAACATTTCTTCTCTACTTTTAGATATCTTGCCATTTATAATCTCGTGTTTTTTTAGACTATTTTGTATTGGATAAATAATGCGTATTACAGATTTCGTACCTTCCGAGTTAACAATGTCATCCGAAAAGACGTTCAAACTCATTGATGCCATCGCGGCGGACGCCTCTGAAACACTTGCAGACCCTACGTACACAGAAAGATACATTACAAGGTACTGAAATCCCCGAAAACATGGCATTTGATTGGCTGAGAACAAAATTGTCATAGAAAGTTAGCATTTGTTATTGATAACAAGTTTTATGAAACAGGACGCATACTTTATTGATAGATTTTTGGCATGACCTACCAATCCCCCATCCCCATATACACTATCAGAATAAAAAAAGAACAAAGAAAGTTAATCCGAATATAATTAGAGAATACTGTTAAACTATATAGGAACCTAAAGATCCTTCTTGGTTAAAAATAAAATAAAAAAAATCCAAGACTAATCAGTCATTTAGACATGACCCTAACGGTAATACACAAAACTGGTAAATAATCGGCAATTATAAACAATTGAATTTATGGACTACTGATGATTAGGCTTAAAGTAAAGGATAAAAACAACTTAAAACTAAAGTATCATGACAGCTCTGACCCTATACAAAACATCGCCTTTTGACATGGTATAACCGCCTTTGCTCACTATTAAATTGCAAATCATACCTTCAGGTGATGCTGTTTTCCTCTGTGCTTGTTCTCTCTTGAGATACCGAACTACATCAAGATGACCTTTGCGTGATGCAACAATAAGTGGTGTGTCACCATCATTATCGCACCTTTCAACCTGTGCTCCTTGACTAACGAGGTATCGAACCATATCAAGATGACCATAGCCTGATGCAACATGAAGTGGTGTCAAACCTTTATTATTGCCCCTCTCAACCTGTGCTCCTTGACCAACGAGGTACTGACCTACATCAAGATGACCATTGCGTGATGCGCTAAAAAGTGGTGTCACACCATTACCAAGACCCTTCTCTACCTTTGCTCCTTGACCAACGAGGTACCGAACTACATCAAGATGACCCTCCCGTGATGCATAAAGAAGTGGTGTCCCACCCGTATTAGTGCCCCTGTTTACCTGTGCTCCTTGACTAACGAGGTACTCCACTACGTCAACGTGACCTTTACTTGATGCAGCAAGAAGTGGTGTCTGATCAAAATTATCAATCCTCTCTACCTGTGCTCCTTGATTAACAAGATACTGAATTACATTGAGATGTCCCTTCTGTGATGCAAGCTGAAGAGGTGTATCATTATCATTATCACACATTTCAAGCTGTGCTCCTTGACTAACGAGATACTCAACTACATCAAGATGACCCATCTGTGATGCAACATGAAGTGGTGTATTACTACCATTACCACACGTATCAAGCTGTGCTCCTTTACTAAGGAGGTACCGAACTACATTAAGACGACCACTGTGTGATGCACAATCAAGTGGTGTCAAACCCTTATCAATGCACCTGTTTACCTGTGCTCCTTGACTAACGAGGTACTCAACTACATCCAGATGACCCTCCTGTGATGCAAGGTGAAGTGGTGCCCCTTTCGTATTTGTGCCCCAGTTTACATTTGCTCCTTGACCAACGAAATACTGAACTACGTCAAGATATCCATTTAACGCTGCCCCGAGTAGTGCTTTATCGTCATCAGAAGGCTCATCTGCTGCTGTTTCAGCCATGTTTTGCTATGTCCGTGGGTCCAATTGTGAAGTAAATCTAATGGATATTCCTTCGTTCTAGACCTAATATTTCCTGTTTGTCAAAGTCACCTTTGCATTCTGTGAATCGTTCTTGGAATAGACTAACTACGTCAGTGAGGTTTATTGAGAGGTATATATCTTTCTCTGTTACCCTGCCGGTTTAACATTTTCGTAGCCTACTAATTCGTATGCATTATTACGGCAAATGATTGATTTAAATTTAATGAACTTATACTTGAGACCATAATCCAAATTGTGTAATTAAAGAATCCGTCTAGGACAGTCCTGGCCCTGTCTGTTCAAGTTTGAAATATCCACTTCATTCGTCTGCTCTCCTTCACGTAAAACAACGTTCTCCGGTTTATCCAAATATAACATCAACGATCTGTTGCTTCAAAATGAATGTAGATTGTCAATGCAGATCGCAAATCAGTGCATAAAATTGTTCCACGATAAAACGCTAGGATTTTTTCTTGAAATTTAGCTCTCTACTTTTTATCCGAAGAATTTACCCTGTGTTTGAGGGTATATTACACAAGGGTAAGAGCTCGATGATTCATTCATGTGTGCTTAAAGTTTTGCGATCAAATTAACTGACGGAACAGGCATTGAGAAAATGGCGGATCCTTTTGAGAGAAACAGGCGTTGTTTTGTAGAACATCATCTTGACAGTACACCATCATGACCTCATCTAGGCTTCGATGGAATGGAATGTAAAACTATACATGAATAGAGAAAATACGCATGGTTGACCATTTAGTACACAGGGAACAAAGTTGTTTTTTGTCGTTACATGTTGACTAATCCACAGGGCAAGGGACTTGTCCGTGCTTGTCGTAAGACAATTTTGGGAAATATCAAGACGTTTCAGATAGTGACGGCCTACGTGCATGACGTGTCTGGGTATGATAAACATCAACGGGGTGTCAGTGCCACTATTTACATATTTCATATTATGGCCCACTTGCAACCAATCAACGTTAGATTTAGCTGTTTGCAATAATTATTACCTAATATCACTTAACAATTTATTTGGCCAAAGTTTATTTTTATGGTTAAATATTGATAATGACAACATCACAGGAAATATTTTTTATTATGACACTTTGAGTTGTCTTTAGTAAGTCATACAGCGGTAGACAGATCATCTAAAGCTACAGATGAGGTTTTTTTTGAACGCGTTAAGACCTCCACCAATCATCAAGCTAACAGGTTTTTTTTTCACCCTTAACAGGTGTTTTTATTTCAACAAAATAATCAAACTCACATACATTTTTGTTTAACATAACCACTAACATACTTTACACATACATTTCTACCAATTCAGGTAAATTATACATTTTTCGTTTTCCCTTTTTTTGACAGAGCTGTGTTAACGTCCAAACGTATCTCATCTTCTTTTTGAAGAAAAAAATACCACAATTTTTTCCCCTTCATCTTTTCCCTTTCCGTTTCTCAAAATTATCATTTTATATAAGCTCCAAAAGGCAATTTTAACAATACCATCAATATTTGTTTTCCGAATTGTTTTTTAACAAAAGACCAACATTAAAATCAATATCTACATTATAGACATATGCCTTACATGTACATTCATTCTTTACATTCATCAAATTTCTTTGGAAGATCTTTTTCCAGTATAAATGATAATGAATTAAGTTTGTCCAGTATGATGAACTTTCATCTCGAATATGATAAAATAACCTACTTGACACAAATTGTTTTTCTTTTTACGAATTGGTATAGTTGGAGTTTCTAAAAAAATATCAGTCCAAACTTTTGGTATTGCATTTCTCAATTTAGAAAAACCAAAAAAGTGCTGTCGCTTTCGCGCTTTTTTATTTTTAATGGTTGTTATCAATTTTGTCATGGAAATAAAGTTTCCTTTGATGCAATATCTTACTTAGGTTCCACTCTTTATAGAAGAGTGGCTGTTTTTCATGCTTAATATATTTATTATAACATAAAAATCTGAGCATCCAAATAAATATATTCCTATACAGTAGGCGTGTGGGTGCACCATGTGAGAGAGGGAGGATTGAGGAGTCCTGAAAAGGACTCTCGGTATAAATCTTTCTTGAGGGTCACCTGGCCACATAGCAGACGTGACTGAGACCACTTCCTTGCCCACATCAACCAGCATCACCCGAGCATCAAATTCACCACGGAGACTGAGCAAAACAACAGCATCCCCTTCCTAGACGTCCTCGTTACCAAATCGCCATCCGGGAAGGTCGCTCACCGAGTCTACAGGAAACCCACATACACCGATAGATGTCTTCACTACAGATCCTTCCACCATCCATCCGTACTACAATCAGTCCCAAACGCCCTCATCCGCCGAGCATCTAGACCAGAAAATCCAGCATGTCACCACAGCCCTAACTACCATCATCAAATACCTAAGACAAAAGATCAAATCCAAGACTCCCGGCAGCAAGCCCGCAGCCAACACCGTCCCTGAAAAGAACCAACCCGCAGCTACACCACCAAAACAAACTGTTGTTCTTCCCTATATCGGTCAAGCCTCTCACAAGATTCAGCGTTTCCTTCAAGCAGCAGACATACAAGTTCGACACAGTTCCTCCAACAAACTCCATTCGATACTCTACTCCCACAAACACAAGCATCCAAACCACAAAAAAGCTGGAGTCTACAAAATACCATGCGAATGTGGAAAAGTCTAAATTGGTGAAACGGGGCGAAATCTGGAAACAAGACTCAAGGAGCACAGAACCAACTTGATCAGACTCAGCGAATGGGATAAGTCCGCCATCGTCAAACACGCCCGGCAACAACAGCCATCTCATCTCCATAATGAAGCACTGGCATACACGCCGAATCCGAGAAGCCATCAAAATTCACCGCCACAACACCGTGCTCCAAGACTCAGGATTATTCATCAACGACATCTGGAAACCCCTCATCAACCTGGTCACTCTTCCTTCACCACCACCTTCACCACCGTCTTCAGCACCCCTGCAGACGCCCGTCTGTCTGTCCGTCTGGGCTGGAGTCTCTGGGTTGCTAGCCTCTTGTCGATGGCTCTCGCGTTGTTGGAGTCCGTAAATTCTGGCGCGAGCTCGCCAGAATTTATGGACTCCAACAACACGAGGGCCATCAACAAGAGGCTACCGGGGTGCGGACTTGGGGGAGTTTCGAATCCATGAGGGAGAAGAATTGTAAATACTCACCTGTAACTGTCATATAAATTTCCTCACCGCTATTCTGTAGCGGTTCCTTCCCTCTCCCATTTTGGCGATACCACCTATTGCTTGCAAAACCTTTCTACTTCGGAAAACCGAGTACTGGCAAATAATTGGAAAACAGCGAATAACGCTCCGTGAATGGAATGTGTTCAACGTTTAATGCGATTTAGTTTGCACTAGAAGAAATGGGAAAATCCTTCGAAGTCAACCTAGTGTCGACATAGACTTTTTAAAATAATGTTGTCGCTAATTATTGTTTAAATCCTCGTAGGATAAGTCATGTAAATAGCTATCCGAATGACAAAACAAAATGAAGTGAATGTATATAATATTACAATATTAATTATAATTAAATTTATAGGGCGCTTAATATGAGCGTTTCTAACTGCACAGGTGTTATCGTCTTACTCAGTTTAATTAAAATTGTTCAATAGCTTAAGAGCAACAGAACGAAATAAAAAATTACTAATACAATACAAATTAGTTGAATGGAATTAACTACTAGTGTGCGGCTCCAGTAAACTATAATTGATTAAAAAAAGTGGGTTTTGAGAAGGGTTTTGAATGATTCAATGGATGAAGAATTTTGAATATGGGGTGGGAGTTTGTTCCAGAGGGTGGGGGCAATCGATAAAATATATGTATTTATCAACAATTCACAGAGTGGCGGCCTACTTGTCTGGCATTACTCGTCGAATCGACTTCAGTGATGCATTGCAAAATTGATGTGATTCTTTTAGTCTTCTGAATAATTTTTGAATAAATTGAGAAACACTCTTATTTTCATGGGCGTCAATCATAGGGGGGGGGGGGGTAGGGTTACGTGTCCTCCCAAGTTTTCAATATTAATTTGTCCCCCCATGTTTTGGACCTCCTTTATCACGAAGCTCAAGTATTGCACTGTGTAAGACCAAACCTTGTGCCCACGGACGTTTTTAACTTAGTTTATGGCAACAAACGATGGTAACGTACATTTTTCCTTTACAAAAAAAGTCCCCACTCCCTGACCCCCCCCCCCCCAAGCTACATTTTGTGGTTTTTTTTTCGTTGATCAAGGGGGGGGGGGGGTGGTTAGTGAGTAAAATAATAGTGCTCCTCACCCTCCTACCCCCACTGAGCGAAATATCAACTGGCGCGATTTTCAAATTTCCGTGGGGGCAAAAAAAAAGAGGAAAAAATTGGGCTCACTACCCCCCCCCCCCCCACTGAGCGAAATATCGGTCCACGCAATTTTAAAATTTTCGGCCCACCCCCTTTTGCCACTACCTATTTGTCCCCCCTACACTTTAAAAAGAAATAACGCCCTTGTTTGCCTTCCCATATTATATATATTGTGCTACACATTGTTTAATGATATGATCTCTTCATTTATCAGAAGAAATGTTGAAATACAGAAACACTATTGCTTTCTCATATCGTATTTTGCCACAAGTTTGATGATGTGATCTCTTTAATCTCTTAATCTGATGGGTTTTTTCCAGAAGAAATTAATAAATAGTTATACTTTCTCATAATATACTATGCTACTTAATAATGCAAACTTGATGATGTGATTCTCTCAGTCCTCTGAAGAAATTCAGAAACAGTCTTACCTTTTCATATTGTATTGTGCTATAAGTATTTTTGATGATGTGATATCTTTATTTTTTGGAGTAAGTGTTAAAGCGGTTACACTTTTTCATATTGTGCTACTTAATAATGCAGGTTGGCGAAACAATCTCTTCATCTTTGTTAGGAGAAATGGAGAAACCTTACCTTACCTTCTCATAATTTTTTTATAACGCTACTAAATATTGTCAAGTTTTTATGATATGGTTCAGTGTGACCCCTTAATTCAACATGCATATCATAAATATTTGTATGCCTCAGCAGATTTGCTTCCATCCACTTTAAAACTCGTGCTAACACTGAACAAACTAATGTTCCATTAAAGATAGATAGCATCACCATTCAACAAAAGAAAAGTACCATATTCCGAGGCATTTATATTGATCAGTGCCTGTCCTGGCATGAACAAGTACGTGATCTTTCTCGAGTTTTGTCTTGTTATGTCGGTGTTACGTACAAGTTAAAGACTTTTGTTGCACTTAGTATTTTGTTCATTAATTACAATTATTACATTCATTCACGTACTTCTTACTCTAACATTGTATGGGCCATTAATAAAGTAAATACTGATGGTACATTAAGATTGCAAAAGAGAGCCATGAGACTTTGTCGGGCTCTGGGTATTTTTCAGTTTGAAAACTTTGAAAATTACTGAAATTCTATTTTATGAAAATTGCAGTGTTCATGTACCGACTTAATACAAAAAGAACTGCCTTTATCATTTTGTAACGATTTTACTCTAAATAGAGACATTCATAACTACCCAACCAGACATTCCTCTGATTTCCATTTGTTTACACCAAGGAGTGCTTTAGCCCACAGATTAATTAGATTAGATATGTAGGTCCTGACATTTGGAACGTATTGCCACCTGATATACGAACTTGTAAAAACCTTTTGTTATTTAAAAAGAAACTGAAGTATGTTTGTTAACTTTTGAGGTACACTAAAATAGTGCTATTTTTTTCAACGAAAGGTAATAATGTGTATTCCCTTTCTTTTCCTTGCTATCTAAATACGTTATGGGGCAAACGCAACCCTCTAAAAAAATGAAAAGGAAGCTCTTATTATTACCAATCATGTGAAATAATATGTTTTGACTAATACGTAATCATACAAATTTTGCAGAGAAACCGCTTACTAATTGATATATTTGGTACTTTAATGTATCTATTTGGACCTGATAGATATAACGCACGTGTCGCGTATATGCATCTTTTTGTGTACAGTACATGTACTTGTAACTTTACCAAGACTTGGCCAAATTTCTAATCATTTTGATGATTCCAGAACTTTGCAGTACACACCAATACTTATATGCCAGATGATCAACCTTTTCTGATCGATTCCACAACGTTTCCTTCACAATACAATCGCATATGGGTGTCGATCCCGGGGGATGGGGGGATATATATATATATATATATATCCCCCTGTTACACCCACAAATGTAATAATGCCCACAAATGTAATAACGCCTACAAATGTAATAACACTTTACCCACAAATGTAACAACACCCACAAATGTAATAACACTTTACCCACAAATGTAATAATTTCACCCACAAATGTAATAACCACTTTACCCACAAATGTAATAATTTTGAATCACCCACAAATGTAATAATGACTTTACCCACAAATGTAATAAATTTGAAGTGATATTTTGAATCACCCACAAAATATGTAATAATGACTTTACCCACAAATGTAATAAATTTGAAGGGATATTTTGTCGAATTTGTTCAAAACAAAAACCCTGTAATAAAGCATGGGTATAACTACCACCTAGCTAACTACCCCCGGACATCTACCCCCCGACATCTTACCCATTCCAACTACCCCTCCCCCTGGACAACTAACTCCCCTCCAACTACCCCCCGGACATCTACCCCCAAGCAAATTAAGGTAGTTGGGGGTAGTTTTCAGGGTGGGGGTAGTTGGCTGGGGGTAGTTGGAAGGGGATAGTTGGATTGGGGGGGGGGGGGGAGGTAGATTTCCGGGGGTATTTGACGGGGGGTTGATGTCTGGGGGTAGTTGCAGGAGCGTAGCCACGGGGGGGGGGGGGGGTCACGTGCCCCCCTAAAATTTCCAGGATCGGTTGAAATTTTGTAGACCCCTTTTTTTGACCTCGATCGATTTAATTTATGTTCCCCTTCCCCCCCCCCCAAATATCAAACTCTGGCTACATGCCTGGGTAGTTGCCCGGGGATAGATGTCCAGGGGTACTTGACTTGGGGTAGATGTCCGGGGGGTATTGTCCGGGGTAGATGTCCAGGGGTAGTTAGCTGGGGGGGGGGGGGGGTTGTCATTCTAGGGGGTAGTTAGCTGGGGGTAGTTGGCAGGGGGGTAGGTGTCCTAGATTCTCGATTAGAGATTAAATCTGACATTTCTTTCGGGGGAGTCCCCTCTCTCGTGGTTGTACCTCCATGGTAATGAGCAGTGTCAGAACACTAAAGTTACAACAAATCACAGCAATAAACAAAACTGTGACGGAGACGTTCTTAATATTGAGCACTTAAATCAGGCAGATATATCAATTACTTCATTGTAGTACAATATCCAGAAAGACCAGAAGATATTGTAGAAATCAAAAGCATACAACAATAAAAGCAAGTGGCAAGGACTGCTTCTTCTGTTACGAAAGTGTGTACTGACCAAAATCAGGTAGGTTCATGTTATTTATATACAGTGATCTATGGGAGTTGAGTGTTTCAGAAGTAGGGAAAACTGTAATATAAATGTGTTTTGTTTGTATTTGCCTTTGAATAAATTTCGTTCTCATGAATTCACACCGTGTACCGCGTACCAATTGGTAGTCTTCAGTATAAGTAATTGATACGTTCATCACATGAAGAAAGGTAATTCATTCACGCACTCATGAAAATATTACATCGCAATCCAACGTTCCAATGTCACTAATAGCGTACATATATATATATATATATATATATAAATATGTGTTTCATATCGTGAACATATTTCATAATCACATGCATAAAACAATCAGCGACAATATTTAAATACATTTAAGGTCACTTATTCAATTACTTTTTTTTCTACGAACATTGAATTCCAGGATATTTGTGGGCGTTAGAATATTTACATGATTAAGTAATCGTCGACGGTCAACGAACCATCGAATCGGTCCCTCCTCTGTGTGTTATATATATGGACCATTTTGACTGATTCGTCAGTTCGTGTGACCGCCGACCAATCATTTATTTGTGACGTGTTTTATCCACATATGTAATAATGTAATTTATTCCTAAATGAAAAAAAAAAGGAATAAGATGGTGGGTCTTAGTTTCGA